GTTAAGGTCTCCTGTTACAATTGTGTTACTGATAATTTGAGTTTTCATTTCTGTTAATAGTTGTTTTATATAACTGGGTGCTCTGCAGTTTGGTGCATATATATTTAAGATAGTTATCTCTTCCTCTTGGAGTTTTCCCCTAAAGAGTACGTAGTGACCTTCTTTGTCCTTTATGATCATTGTTGGTTTAAAGTTCACATTGTCTGCAAACAGAATGGCTACTCCTGCTTTTTTTTTTTTTTGGATTCCTGTTGCATGAAGTATTGTTTTCCATCCTTTGACTTTCAGTCTGTGAGTATACTTCTGGGTTAGATGGGTTTCCTGTAAACAGCATATGGTTGGATTTTGTTTCTTGATCCATTCTGCTAGTCTGTTTCTTTTGATTGGTGCATTGAGACCATTTACATTAATGGTTATAACTGTTAAATGCTGGTTTATTATTGACATGTTATCTCTCTGCTGTTGCATCTTTATCTTTCTGTTCTGTTTAATTATCTGCTTTGCTTAGTGGTTTTTTCCTTTGTGTATCTAAACTGTCTTTCAGTATTCTTTGCAGGATTGGCTTGGTGGTCATGAAGTTCTTCAGCTGTTCTTCGTCATGGAAGTATCTTATTTCTCCATCAATTTTGAAGGACAGTTTTGCAGGGTACATCAGTCTAGGTTGAAAATCATTTTCCTTTAGGATCTGAAATGCTTCACTTCATGCTCTTCTTGACTTTATTGTTTGTGCTGAGAAGTCCGCTGTGATTCTGATAGGTTTTCCTTTCTAGGTGATCTGTCTTTTCTGACAGCTTTTAATATTCTATTTTTTTGTTGGATTTCTGGGATGGTGATTATTATATGTCTGGGTGTAGTTTTATTTTGGTTATGGCTATTTTGAGTTCTATGTGATTCATTAATTCTGACGTCAGTTTCTATTCTCATGTTTGGAAAATTTTCAGCTATTACTTCTCTAAATATCCTCTTGACATCCATTGTTATCACCTTCTTTTTCATTTATTCCTATCAACCTTATTTTTTTTCTTCATGTCATCTTGCAGGTGTTGAATTGTTATTTCCTGACTTCTTGTTATTTTTAAAAGATCGTTTTCTGTTCACTAGCTGCAATCTTGTCTTCGAGGTCTGAAATTCCATCTTCACTTTCATTGAGGCAGTTTTTACAACTTTCAATGGAATTTTTTATTTCTTGCATATCTCTTTGCATCTGCTGCATGTATTCTGTTTGTTTCTTATATTGTTCATCTAGGGATTCTATCTTTTTGTTTACCTTCTCCAATGTTTTAACTGTGTCTTCTTTGGATATGTTCAGCATCTCTTTCATTTCTTTTATCATTTCTTCATTTACCTGGGAGATTATTTCTAGTTTGAATTCCTTTAAAGCTTCCCAGAGTTGCTTCTTTATCTCAGTTGCTACTATTTCAGGTATTTCAGGTGTATGGCATATGTTTTGTTTTATCTACATAGCTCCTAAGGTTTCTTGGGATGGGTTGGAGGCTTGAGATTATATTTTGGTCTTTTGTTTTGTCATTTGCTATATTTCCGTGTTTTAAGTGTTATTCCAAGGCTTCCCCTGGGCCTGTTGGAAATCCTCTTCTATGCTCTCAGCTTCTGGGACTCTGGCCACCCAGTTCCTCAGATTGAGAGAGGGTCACTGGGTGTGAGGCAAGCAGGCCCATGCCCTGTTGAGCTGGTTCAGTGCAGTAGGAAGCCACAAACTTCCCTTGCAAGGATCTTAAACTCCCTCCCTGGGCTCGGGATGGTATGGGGACACTCAGTCCAGGCTGTCCAGTTTCCAGAATTGAGGGCGCAGGCAGGCAGGCTCAAATCCCCAGAGCTGTTGGACCGCACAGGAAGCCAGAAAGTTAGTGCAGCAATTGTTTCTAGTTTTAAAGAGGATAAAATCCAGGAAAATAAAACAGAATAAAACCAATGAAAATAAACCAGTATAAGTTATACAGGATTTTGAAATCTTACAAAATCAACAATAGTTACCAGAATGCCTTTTGTTGTCTTCAATATAGCTGCAGATACTTCAGACATAGCAAAAATGGAACAGAATAGAAACAATAAAAACAAAACAATGAATGCAATAAAGAACTTTAAAACAAGCCAATAATAAATCCAAAATGGCTACCATAATATGTCTTGCTGTCTTTTTAATAGCTGCTCACGCCATCAGATTTAACATAATCAAACAAAACAAAAGAGAATAAAACCCAATCCAAGAAAACAAAGAAAATGATATGGTTTCCAGATGGGAATCACTTCCTGATGAGGTCTTGTTCTCTCTCTCTGCAGTCCATGAACTGCACTGACTTATGGAGAGAAGCTTGTGTTTGGCTGTCCCCACTCTGGCAGCAGCCAAGATAGCCTCTTCTATAAGTGGTGCTGAAAAAGACTTAAACTACACCCATGCCTATCACCATGCACTCAACTAAAGTAAAAAATCTAAAATATTAAAACAAAAACATTAAATACACTAGAAGACAAAGTGGGTATGGGGAAGGCAGAGAGTTCATGAAGCAAAACCAAACTGCATGGAAATACATCAAAGAATCAATAAATGGGATCTCATCTTATTAAAAAGTTTTGCACGTCAAAAGAAATCACCAACACAGTGAAAAACCCACAGAGTGGGAAAAATTTTTAGCCAACTCTTCCTCAGACAAAGGCCTTTTATCTAGAATGTATAAAGAATTGAAAAAAATCAGGCCCCCAAATTCAAATACCCAATTAAAAAAATGGGTATCTGAGACGAACACACAATTCTCAGATAAAGAAACACAAATGGCTAATAAATATATGAAAAATGTTCAATATCACTGGTCATTCTAGAAATGCAAATTAAAACAACATTCAGATATCATCTCCAGAAAGAATGGCTAACATCAAGAAATCAATGAATAACAAATGCTCAAGGTGCTATGGGGAAAAAGGAACCCTTTTTCACTGTTGGCAGGAGTGTAGACTGGTAGAATCTCTGTAGAAACCAGTGTGGAGATTCCTCAAAAAATTAGGATTAGAGGTTCCATTTGACCCAGCTATTCTTCTTCTCGGTATTTTCCCAAAAGAATTAAAAATATCATACCCCGGCAATATACATGCATCTATATAGCTGCACATATCTTGGAAACAACCCAAATTCCCATCAACTGAGGAATGGATAAAGAAAAATGTGGTATTTTTACACAGTGAAGTACTACTCAGCTACAAAAAATAAACTTGATGCTTTTCATAGGTAAATGGATGCTCCTAGAGACCATACTTATAAGTGAAACAAATCCGACTCATATATGTGTTAACACTGTATTGTCTCACTAGTGTAAGGAACTGAAAGTTACAATAGAGTGAATGGGAAAGAAACTGCTCAAAGGGAAATCATATTGTTTGGTCAATTTTGCATGTAATTTGAACAACTATTTTGAAGATAACAATATGTAATATAACCATTGTTTAAATTCCTATCATCTTATTTTGGAATCCTGTATTATTTTTGTTGTTGTCATTGTGACTTTTGTTGGTTTTTTTTTTGTTTGCTTAATTGCTTTTAATTTTTCTGTGCTTTTTTTCCCTCTTTAAAATAAAACAAGAGTATAAACTATTCATGAATCAATGAGGGAATCTGATAGGTGTTATAGTCAGTTTAAAAGAGAATCCTGAGCCAGGTGGGTGACTCATGCCTATAATCCCAGCACCTAGGAGACTGAGGCAGTAGGATCACTACCTGTTTAATGCCGGTCTAGACTACAGTGAGCTCAAGTCCAGCCTAAACTACATATAAGACCCTGTGTCAAGAAAGCCATCCAAACAAACAAACAAACAAACAAACAAACAAACAGAATCTCTTAACAGACACGTTTATAGATCTGATGTATTCAAATAATGTGTAAATAAAAGCAATACTTATTTAAAGGGTATTTGGTTGAATCTCTAAAGATAGGCTAGACATTATGTGTCTATAGACCAAAATTACTTGATCTCATTATTAGTTATTAGTAAAATAGCTCAAACACAAAAGAAAGCCTAAGGCTGATAACAGGAAAGATGTGGTGTATACACAATACCCACGAAAGTGAGTTTTCTTCTATATTTCATGGAGGAATTATTGCCTCATTATTTACTTATTTACTTGTACTGCACAGTATGGTTATCTTTAGTGTGTTTTTATCTACCAACAGTTATGATATAATCATAATTTTAAAGGCAGAAGCTATATATCAAATGGTAGACATTTCATAATTACCTGGTAATGGATTTGGAGAAAGAAGTTAGTATCTTCCTTCTCTTCTTTACTATGAACTCAGTTCCTCAAACTTTTCCCACTCCCTCCAACAAAATCACGTGCAAAACTACTGTATTTTGGTAGACTGGAATTACTGGATGTTTAATTTTGGGTATTCAGCAGAAAAAAACCCTCAAAACTTTGCTAAATATGCTACAGATGCATAGGTAAAGAGGTTTTGATAGTTTAAACCAAGATGATTTACACCTAATATGTAATAGTTTATTTTTGTTGTTGTTTTTCTTTTCTTTTCTTTTCTTTTTTTTTGAAACACGATCTCACTATGTAGTCCAGGCCATCCTCGAACTCACAGAGATTCTCTTGTCTCAGCTGCTTGAGTGCTAGGATTTCAGGCCTGTGCCACCATCCCCAACTGTAATAGTTATTTTAAAATTCTATCCATTTGTAACTAGTTATTCACTCCTGCTAACAATTGTGGAACACAAAGAAGGACAACGTACATGGGCATGAGGGATGTTTTCCCTTCCATAATAGACTTCTTCCATTAACCTCCATAAAGTCATGCACAAAGATATAGTATTTGGAAAAATAATTCTGCTCAGCTCAATTATTATGAGTTTTTTTGTTGATATTTATAAGTATACTTCATGTTCTAAAGTTATTGTTTTTCTAATTTGGTGACAGTTTTACCTAAATATTTATCTATAGATAATGGTTATGTTTTGCAAGTACTAATCACAAAATTCCATTTCTTTAGATGAGAGATGTTGACAAACATTATGTAAAACCAATTACCAAGTGTGAAAGTGGCACACAAACAGACACACACATATTGCAACCAACTATTGTGCAGTCATATGAGTGGAATGAATGGGAACTCAGAAGAAAAGCTATAAAACTGGTTTGTAACTATATTTTCTAAAGTTACTCATAGGTTGGAGAATTTTAATATGTTGTTGTGCATAGATTTTGTAAGTTAAGTTATTTATATACAATAATGCATTCTACGCTGAATTCTTTGTTAACATTAAAACAGCAAAATTTACTTTGTAAATTGGATTTGAATTATAAGCATATTTAGAAATACAGAAGCATGAAATTACTATCAAGTGATATCAGCCAGTGAATAGCATGATTATATGTATTTAATAGTTCAAAAATTTGGAGTTAGATTTTAATAACTTAATTTCTAATCATTTAAAGCCTACTCCATTTGGGAAGCATTTTTTCTTTTAAATCCATGGGTCTGGTCTGACTCTCAATCTGTTTTGTCTAGACACCAGGCTTATGAATCCTTTTGATTCTCAGTCACCTTAATCAGAATAGGTGCCTCACCTTAAAACTATGTCTGAAACTCATACTTTTCCCACTCAAAGGAATTTCCCCAACTTTCCCTTTTTTGCAGTATAATTTTTTAAAATTTTTAAATTATTTTGAGGGTGTAAAATACAACAGAACAAGACAGAACAAAGCCAATTGAGACAGTGTAGTGAAGTTGGTACAGAACTTCACAGTAGGTTACTGGGATAACAGTAATAGGTATCACAGTATATCTTATCTTAGTTGTTCTTTCAATCACATATAGCAAAATAAAATGAAATACAGAACATTATAGAACTTACCAAAGCAGAATATTGAATAGAGCAATACCACTAATCAGAATAAAGCAAAACAGTGGTTAAAATATTTGCCTTCAAAAAGGTGGTAGAAGGAAATCTCCCTTATTTGCTACATTGCATATGGTCAACCTCCTAAGAGATGCTCAGATCTCTGGTTCCCATCTGCTAAGGGGGGTTAGGGGGAGTGGGATGTTTGATTCTCAGCCCGTGTACCGGTAGGCTCACTATTGCTTAGCAGTGAGGCAGGCTGGTTGCTTGGTTTTTAAGCACCCTAAGTTCCAACATGGTGTGGATCTCAGGAGACACTGGTGGCTCTCCCCCTGGAGGGGCTCAGCCTGTCACACCACAGCCGCTTACCAGGGAGGCGAGCTGGTTGCTTGGATTCCCAGTGCCCTAAGTTCCAACATGGTGTGGATCTCAGGAGTCACTGGTGGTTCTCCCCCTGGAGGGGCCGCAGCCTGCCACACCATAGCTGCTTACCGGGGAGGTGAGCTGGTTGCTTGATTTCCCAGTATCCTAAGTTCCAACATGGCGCAGATCTCAGGAGTCACTGGTGGTTCTTGCCCTGGGGCGGCTACAGTTTGCCGAGCCACAGCCACTTACCAAGGGGATGAGCTGGTTGCTTGGTTTCCCAGTGTCCTAAGTTCCAACATGGCACGGATCTCAGGAGACACTGGTGGTTCTTCCCCTGGGGCAGATGCAGCCTACCATATACCGCAGCTGCTCACCAGGGAGGTGAGCTGGTTGCTTGGTTTCTCAGCACCCTAAGTTCCAACATAGCCCAGTATCTTATCATATTAAACAACAAATATTTACAGTATGAATTGTTGTACCCCAAAAATGAGATGACGTCCAAAAAGAAAGAGTGCTTCATTTAAGCTGGCACCAGCGGCACAGTAGCGTTGCAATTTGCAAAACTGTGCAACTAGGTTAGATTTTTGGGAGGCTTATAAAGGGGAAAATCTGCAAAGCAGGGATGGGAGGGGGTAAGAGTGAGGAAGGCTTTTTGTTCCCTATTTGATTTGGGGACAGAGCTTCTGGCTTAGTTAGTTGCCTTGAAGAAATTTTCACAGCTGGTGGTCAACAAGTTCCTTATTTACAGACACTTGTGGTCGGCTGATTCCAGGAACAACTCTCTTTCACAAAGGGGGACAAAGGTTGAGACAGAGCACAGGGTTACCAGGGTAACAACACATACAGAACAAGATGGCGGCATTTTAGTTACAGCACAACATGAATGACATTAAGAATGTGTCTGTAACCTTTTCCTAGAATATTTTATCTATCTCTTTAGGTGTGGAGATAAATGAAGGCTACCTAAATGAGAACACAGAGGCTATCTATTCAGTGCTTACAACAGCACACATGATGGACTCAGCCATCATGATTTGCCTTTGGCAGACTAAAAACACAGGCAGGGAAATGGGAAAGATTTAGGGGGAAAAGAGGGAAAGCTTCAGATGTCCACTGGAGGGTGGTGACACAGGAAACTGGAGGCAAACTAACAAAAACAGGGTATTCTGTGTGATTGGTTTTGTGAGCATATCTGGCTTTGTCTGCTTGGTCCTGAGCTAGGGAGGTGGAGCAAAAAGGGAGTGGTGGCCACATCACAGCGACTCTGGCCAGATTGCTACAGCTTCAGAGGTCACAATGTGTTTTGTTGTTGTTGTCTGTCTTTTGAGACAGGGTCTTGCTATGTAATGCAGGCTGCTTTTCACTCTCTTATGTAACTCAGGCTGGCCTTGAACTGACAATGATTCTCCTCTGTGGACTTTCCAGTGCTGGAATTAGAGTTGTGCACACAGTGCCTGGCTCAGAGGTTGCAATCTGGCTTTCTGAACTGATTGGTGTAGAAGTGAGCCAGAGTTCTGTTATCATATGTGGTTTAGCTTTCTTTTTGTTTGTATGTTCAATCTGTGATGGGTTTCTCACTAACTAGGATTCTACTGCTATCCTCTCTGGCGGCAGCATTTCAGTTCCCTGATTTCCTAGAAAAGGATCAGGTTCCATATATACATTCGAGATCATTGTTCCATTTTCACTCCTCTTAGTTACTTTTTTGTAGAAATTTCCTGTTCTTTTCTATTATCTACTAAACTCATGTGAGCTTGTGGTACATTTATTGGGTAATATATATCCCACTACCTTGTTCTAATGGGGATAATAGGCTAGCAGGTAATACTGATACACTAAAGTATTTCTGTGCCTTTTGGTGTAACAGAAGTGAAACAAAACTTATAAATTAAATTACATGACATTTTGAAGTTGATCTTGAGATGCAAAGAAAAAGAAGGAAGCAGTGGATGGATTAAGGTATGAGAACAAGACAGAGATACAGATATGGGATGGAAATGTTAAAACAATGGATAGTCAGAGGGCCTAAACTTTATACTGCTTGAACTTTCTGTTCCTAGTATTCAGTTCCCATGAGGTTTTACTCCCACCTGAGACTTAACAGTCGCTGAGCATTGCATCATGTGGAATGCAGTGCTCTGAGGATAACTAACTCAGGCTGTTCATGAGATAAAGCTGAGTTTACTGCTTGTACCTTAAGAGAAAACTTCACCTCAAAATAAGAATGGCAAATGCAGAATTTATTGCGAATATGAAATTTTTTAAGGGAAGTCTTTCATTGCTTAAAGTAGGTTGAGGGTTTGAATGGGACTAGACAAGGAAACAGTAGTCAAGCCTTGGTGGGAATGGTATAGTGAAGATTTTTGAGACAAAGAATTCAAAAGGGGTGGGGTGAAGGGCAGTGGTAGATCTACTTGTGAAGCATGGAGGAGATCCTGTGTTTAATTCCACACATCGGAAAAATAATTCAACTTTCAGGGTAGCATCAATGTACAATCAAGTTATTTGATTGGGCAAGAGTATCTTGGAATAGTGAAATTATGCTATTGAAGACAGGGGAGTAATCATGTCATATTACTGTAGATATTGTGTGGAGGAAAAAGGTATAGGCTCTCAGCTCAAACCTGAATGTCTGCTCAACTTCTAGGTGTCTCTTTTTCACTCATGCTATAATACCTTATGAGCTTTTTCTTGTCCTCTATAATCTCATCAGCACTTACATACTTTTTTTAATGGAGCTGGGGATGGAAAATAGGGCAAGTACCGTACTCCTAAGCTACATACTTCACCCCTTATCCTCCTCTTTATTAGCTCTTTCTTGCTTTTCAGCCCACATGATCTGTTCAACTTCATGTTTACAAGTAATTCATAAAGGTAGTAAGCAAGATGAAGAATAATGTAAATATAAACTGACATCATCAGGGCTTTTTATATTGAAAACGAAAGGTGAAGCCTAGTTTGTAAAGACTTTTATAAATCTTAAACTTTTATCTTAAAAAATATGAAAAAATCTAAGTTGTATAAATCTTAAAGTAGAATAATAAAGGAATTAGAAAATTATTTTAACAAGTAATTGAGCTCATGACTATGACTCTAATATTCTTTGGGGTGTTCATTTGCATCATTTTATACATTTCCCAATTTTTAGTAAAAGTTGTTTTTCTTTCAGTCCAGATCTTCTAATATTCTAACATTTTAAAGAAATATGCTGTTATCAGATTAATTTCTTTGTAGATTGAGATGATAGATATTAACCAGTGTTCAATATTATACGTTGTTTATTCTTTGAGAAATGGTAATTCCTATTTTCTGTTTCCACTTAGGCCAATTTACGTCAGAAAATTACTCACTCGGTACAGACTGATCTCAGTCACATGAGAAGAGAAAATTGCTCACAGGTTTACCCTGCCAAAGATGCCAACACCCAGACCATGAGGCAAGATGGCACGCAAGTGCCCAGGCCCCAGATTTACCTGGCTGGTCTTCGTGGTGGACCAAGCAAAGTAACCCACGAGGTTAAGGTGGACCTAACTAGAGCTGTGGATGAAACCTAGAGACGACAGCCTCAAACATCAGCTCCTGCTTTAAACAACAACAAATACTGAAAAGTATTTTACATCCGTGAAAATTAATTTTGTGGGGGTGTCACATTCACTGAGTGTGTGAATGTTTATTTGATTCTCATATTCTTTCAAACTGCTGTGAAAAGCTAGAAGTTATGTTCCGTAACACAGTTTTCATTCCATTAAAATTCAAAGAAAATTCTGTCCATGTATCTTCTTTAAAAAAATCTTTTAGAGAAAGTTTGGCAACATAAGATTGAAATTATGATGCCATTTTGATAATCCTGTACTGTAAGTTTATTATGACTGGATTAGAAGTCTTATTTCTAAAAATCACATTTAATATTAAAAATTAAAAATTTAATACTCAAGCAGTATTTTCAGCTTTCTCAACTACTGAATGTTAACACTGATTATATTACTATATGATAAAACCTATCTGTTTGGCAGTTACTGCAAAGCTCCACATGACATCTTTTAAAACCTGAAATTTTACATAAGACCTATAGTTCTTTGAAAAAAGTCAGAGTATCTATACAGTAACGTCTGGTTGGCATTCCTCTAAGTGGTAGCTTTGCCCTCTCACAGGACGGGCACTTCCAGTCCTCCACTGTCCACCCCGGCTCCTGCTGCCCTTTAGGCTCCCACTTCAGCCTTCTGTCTTATTTGCCTGACTCCGGCTGTGGTTAGGGCTCCGTGCATTAGTGACACCAAAATTTTAGAGATTGTTTTACATACTTCTAAGACCAACTCATGGATAAGAACAGTTCCAGAAGGAGTGTTTATTACATGGGCTTTAACAGGTGGGGTTGGGGTTGGCATGTGATTTATATATAGCAGTTTATCTTCACAAGCTGATTTTTTTTTTTTTTTTACTAAGAGGTCTGTATTACTTGTTTTCTATGTAGGATCAATGCTGTTTGTAACAGGAATGTGTTTTAAAACCCATTTTCCATAGACATTATAAAGGTGGCTGAGTGAAGAACAATAGTGATATTTAGCTTTTCAAATTGAATTTGATATTTTTATTCCTTTGGGCATTCCAATTCCAGCTCAATCCAAAATGATGGTTTACAGCCATTCTTTTTTTTATGTTTAGGAATTAACAGACATAATCAAGTTCATGATGTTTGGTAAATTTTCCTCTCCAGCTCTTGCTGTAACCACCAGCTAAGCAGCCTATCTTTAATATCATTTTTAAACTGAAGTGTAAAAACCATGACTATTTACATACAAGTAGGTCTGAAGTTCATCTTTATCTTGCGTCTGCAGAGTTGGGTCCTCCTTCCTAGGAGCAGGGAAAGCTTCCAGACTGCTTGTTCTTTTCTCTGTACTGTGCCCTGGTTTTCCAGCTTCTGTGTAGTTTCTAATTTTCTTTTCAGTTCCCTCCCAATTCCCTGACATCCACTTTTTTTCTCTTTGATATTTTCCAGGTGTTTGGGTTCTAGGTCCTAGGGAGGCTTTATTTTGCTGCTGATTGCTGCTCTGCCACTTTGGCTCTTTCTTTTGAGTTTATTTGTAGATTTGATATAAAAGAGAAAAACACAATATTTAATATTCTGGACCTGAATGGTTTCAGTTACTGTAATGGTCTGCTGCGTCCAGCACAGTTGTTGAACTTCCCAGGGTGAGGACCGTGAAGAGCAGTGACAAGGTGAAGACCAGACACAGAGAGCTGGGATCAGGTGGAGCTCCTCTTTCCAGATGGGAGGAAAGGAACTGACCAACCACTGTAGTGCATTTATTTAAATATTATCAACTTGGTGTCTTGGACACCCCATTGCCTAGTAATCTATATCCATGGAATCCTAAGGGGTTGGTGTTCCCCAGCTGGAACACCTTTTTGCCTGGTCCTCTCACTGTTCTGCATCAGGCTTGCCTCGCCCCTGCATGTTTGATTAATCTCCATCTTCAGTCACTCCCCACAGTGGTCTTCATTGTGGAATGTACTCTATTGTCACCCCATGAAATTCTTTTTGCCCTCAAACAGCCTGATCAGATTTCACTATTTCTGTGATGATTTTCCTCATCAATCATAAAAGAATTGGTTCCTTTCTTGGATTTTCATTGGATATTAGTCATTCTTTTATTATAATACTTAAATAGAGTCAGTGTTCATCTTTATTTTGTCTCACGGTGAATTTCTATCAGACTAACTGCTTTAGTCATCTTTATATCCTTGACATTTATATAGTATTTTGTAGGATGAATGAATGAAATTTTAAAAAGAATGAAGGGACAAACTAGAAGCAGGTTTTTGGTTGAGTGTTTTAAGGGTCAAGGTGGGGGCTTATAAGTTAATAGTAAAGTATTACAAAAGAAAAAAGAAAAAGATTATTTTTGGGGAAATAAAGCTGAGTAGATTTGGTATACTTTTTGGAGAACTTTGAAGGTAAATGAATAGTTTGTCTTCCTGTAGTAGGCCATTAGAAAACCACCACAGATTCTTGATTCTGGAGAGGGAGGAAATGACTAGGAAGTTGTTGCAAGAATATGGGGTACTTGCTGATGGACAGTATGAAGGGACATTTAATAACAACTGAGGAAAGGGAAAGGAAAATCAAAGTATGACCTCAGGGTCTTAACCTGGGAGACCAAGGATAATTAGTTGCGATTAGTGTTTAAATATGTGTCTAATACTATGGTTCCCTGAAGTATAGTTGATTCCATGATCTAGGCCAAGGGGAAATCAATATTGATTTGGAACTGCTTGCAGTCAATTTTTCAAAAAGCTGACCAGACTTTGTAAAGGAGCAGGTTTACAAGGGTCACATTTGGATATTTAAGCAGAGTATATATATATATATATATATATATATATATATAAAAGTATAAAAAGAGTATATATATATATATATATATATATATATATATATAAATTAACATATATGGTTAATTTGAGAACACAACAATACCCCAAAATGGGAAGAGAGAAATTGTACAGAGCACTTATAAAGAAATGGTATTTTAATCCTTATATTTAACTTTTAATCTTTAAAGTCAATTTCAAGTACAAGTGTGAGTTTTATGTTTAACTATGTATGTACAAGTACATACACAGAAGTGAGCTGAATAATTCCACAAGTGTAAACTGTATCCATTACAGGAAGATGTGATTAGCTCCATTGAGCATACATAGGTAGAGAAGGGAAGAACAAACAGTGCTCCAAAATGAGACTAATCAATGACAATGCCAACTCTAGTTTCCTGGAAACACATCCTAATATTAATATTATGCTAATAAGGCATGCTAAGTTTCCCAATTAACAGGCAAGAAACAGCTGTATGAATAATGACAACAAAGTGGTATGAAAGATTTACCCCTCAGCTCTTTAAGACATTTTTGGGGGAGAAATCATGCTACAGAAGGTGCTACTGGGCAATTTAGAATCTTGTATACCTGTTCCTGTATTTTTAAACCAATACATATATCTTAAACAGCACTCACTTTAACAAGGAATTATTTCTAATTTCGTATGCTAATAAATGTTTAGTTAATGCAAAGATTATAGTGCTTCAAGTGCTTGTTGATACAATCAATACTGCTGAGACTGGTTATCTGAACAGTTAGAATGTCTGGCTAGTCAAAGACAAGGCTGTAGTGCACACGACTTACGGGTCATATATAATACAAATTATACTTTATACAAAAGGTAAGCGAGGTGGAAGTTATAAAAGCCGACGAAAATAATGTGTTACTTTATGAATTCCGGGATCTTCTCTAACAGCTTCGACGGGAATCACCAAGTCCAACTGCAAATCCTCCGGTGCGCCTCGTAGTCCTCGTCCTTGTGAGAGTCCCAGAAGGCAAGGCTCGGCTCCCTTGATTTCGCTTCCTTATCTGGCCTGGGTTTGTCAGAATCACTCCTCCGAACCTGCTGTCACACGTGTCACCACAGGCCCGGCTGTGGAGCACACCCCCGCTCCTCTCCTCTGGGGCCGGAGCGCGCCGCCCGGCGGACGCCGCGGGCTGCTCTAGGCCGAGCGTCGTCGTCTCTATGACCCCGAGGGGGCGGTGCCCGGGCCGTCGCTGGGCGTGCGCAGGAGCGCGCGCCGGAGCCGCGCGGGGCTGTGCGGGCGTCATGGCTACCCAGAGAGGTGAGGCTGGGGCTCCTGGGAGGTCGGTGCCTGCGGGAGCCACCTGCGAGCTGTGGTGCTGGCAGCCTTTATCGGGCAGCGAAGCACCCTCGGCCCCCGCTGGACCCCAGGCAGGGCCGAGGCGCCGGGTGTCAGGACTGGGTGTAAGTGTAGAGCTGAGCGCTGGCGCAGCCAGCTGCGGGCGAGCGGGTTTTCCGCGGAGGCTGTCAGCCTACACTTGGAGACTACGCCGCTTCCGGCAGCTGGTAGTGGGTGGGACCCCAGTTCTGGCCGCCGGAGGCCCCATCCACCTCATTTATCAGGGCAGTTCCTGGTCTTGGCTGCCCCTCCCGGCTGCCGTCTCCGGTGCTCCTGCTCTGCTGATGCCTCGTAGAGGCTTGCAGGCGTGCTGCGGTTGCAGGCACGGAAACATTACGGGAGCATCAAACAGCTCCGAAACCTGGAGGAGATACAGAAAAATAGTCGTTATCCCCAAGATAATGCCGTGTGTAGTTAATGCATGGCACTTTCGGGAAATAATACTTGGTGACAATTCCGCTTAGAGGATGAGTCTAACTCCAAGGCACTTGTGATTTTTGTTTTTTCTTTCTTTTCTTTTTTGTACGGGGGGTCGAACTCACAACCTCAAGCCAGGCAGGCGCTTATGCTGGTGAGCTAAACCCCCGGCCCCAAGGCACTTGTTTTTGGTAGTTTACACAAGTTGGGAGTAGAGCTGAGTTTTTGTACCATAGAGCAGTAGCAAGGACAGGCTTTTGGCCTAGAATAGGTGCTTTCATCTCTAAGTAAATATTCACTTAATAATAAATAAACACTTAATATTCTTTTACATGGGTGCCAGATTATTTTCCTAGTTGGGGAGACATTTTCATCAAGCCCTGCCTGGGGATGTCATCAACAGTTGCATATGGTGCCCTTAGGCATTATCCCATTTCTAATTAAGTCTAGATTTAAGAGTTTTTCTGTAGCAAAACAAGTTCAAGATATTCTTTTGATAACTTACATAGGACAGCAGATTAATGACTAGTGAGCACTTAAAGATTACAGAATCACGTGAAACAACTGTAACAGTGTACAGATTTAGGCTTATTGCTAGTACGGATTTCCTGTACCTTGGTTGTGCTACAAATCCTGTATGACAGTACAATTTTTTTTTGAGACAGAGTCTTGCTGTGTAGTTCAGGTTGGCCTTGAGCTCACTTTGTATCACAGGCTGGTCTCGAACTCCCAATGATCCTCCTGCCTCAGCCACCCAAGTTCTGGGATTATAGGTGTGTGCCATCACGGCTGGCTACAAATGTATCTCTTGATAAAATTACAGTTTCCTAGCTTCGTAATATTTACAAAAGACATAGATGCAACTTCCTGAATGTCCAAATTCTCAGGTATTACAGTGCCCCCCATAAAATACAACAAGCATATACTCCAGGTTCTTGTTTCTTTTGGGGACATTTCCCACACAGAAACAAACTGTATGGGAGTTAATGGGAACTTTGTGAGAAGAAAGGGAAAAAACAAGTGTTAAGGTGTGGCCACCACTTGAGTTGTGGGCTTGGTTTATACTTACTGGCCGTTGGCATGATTTGAATTGTCAGGAAAGCTTAATTACATGTCATAGACTTTTTATGTTACTTTGTAAAACTTCAAATTCCTAATAGTTGAAATTTCATCCTGGGAAATTTGTGAGTTGAATGAAGAAATATTTTGATCTAATAATAAACTATGTCAGAAAACATGTTTAAAATTATTTTTTAGAAAGTTGAGTAATGTTTCTGAAATGTTATTACATATCAGAGTCCTATATGTTTTACAAATACCTAAACTTACCACTTTTCTACTGAGATTAGTATTTTCAAGAATATAATATGGTTTCCATTTAATCACTGTGAAAACAATCTTTTCAAAGCTGACAGGATGTATGTGAAGGCTGTAAAAATTAGGACTAATATTGAACCATTCACCATGTTTTTTTTGGAATCAGCAACCTGTAATAAAGTAGATGTGAATTGTGCAGTCTTAACTGCTCTTATTTATGAAGTACTGATGAGCAAATTTTCTGTAAAGGGCTGCTGGTTTCTGTCATAACTACTCAACTCTGCAGTACTAGGGCAAAATACTGTATAGCCAGAATAGTTTGTAAAGAAATGAGTGTCACTTTATTCTAGTAAAACTTCATTTATGGACATTGAAATTGAAATTCTGTATCAATGTTACAATGTATACATGTTACAATGTAACATGTATAATGTTATTTAAAATATTTTTAATGATTTAAAGATATATCATTATGAGCTTGCAGGCCAAAATAAGTGACAGTATGGTTCGCTTACCTATGATCTAAGAAAGTGTTTTCTTCCATACTGATTAAAAGTTACTGCTAATTTTAGTTTTGAAGTCATACATTTTTCTCTTGCATAGGAAAGTGTTAGATCTGAGTAACTACTGTACTGCTCTGTACTGTACTGTTTACTTTTACATAAACATTGCTTTTTGGCTTCTTAGAGATTTTGAAAAGGTAATTTAGGTAGCTGAGAGCTCCATTTCTCCTGTTTGACTTTATTACTTTTTAGTTAGACTTGATGTCACATTTAAAAATAATATTTTTAAGCATGGTTTTTGCTGACATTTTTAGATCAAAATATTACATGAACCCTTAAAAATATGCCTCTTTACAAACTATGCTTTAATTCAGTTAGGGAAACTACGTATTTAAGAACCTGTTTCTTTGTTAAGGTTGTTTAAGAACCTAAGTTTCTGTGTTGCCATATTTAAAGTGAAGTGAAATGAAGCATTCATTTCCTTGTGATGGTCATCCTTGAATTGTGGTTAGGCTCCGGAGCAGTGGACAAAAGGATATTCAGCGTACAGAGTGGTTTAGTAGCAGCAGAGGCACTCGATTTTTGATTCTTAACCTACCTTTGCCAGAGTATGACCCAGTGAGTGGCCAAATCTGAGTACATACTTATATATGACATGAACTAACCATGGTTTTTTCTTTTAATTAAAACAAGTTTAAAAGTTTTTGAGACAGGGGCTAAGTTGCTCATGTTGGGGTTCACACTTGTGATCTTTTTGATTCAGGATCCTAGAATGTTTGGATTACAAGTATGTGCCATCATGCTTTTTTAAACAGATGAATTTTTGCAGTTGATTTGATGAGCGACCCCTAACTTCAAACACCAAATAAACGAAATGTTAGCTTTCCCAAATGATTCCATTATTCGTATTAGTGAATCTATATTGCAAAACATTGTACTTAATTTTAATGAGAACATCTGTAATGACTTTTTCTCCCTATGTAAAAACCCTTACTTTTGTCTGAACAGTAGAAATAGTTTGGGCCATGGGTGCCGGGAGTGTGAGCGTGGGAAGCACTGGTGGTTTACTGTAGGTGTCAAACTGGCTTTAGCACTTGGGATGGCTACTGCTCAGGTGTAATTGTAGGCAGTTCTTATCTCTTAAAGTTGTACATTTCCTGCATTTTGGCTTTTGTACAGCTTTGTTGTTACTAGTCTGTTTTGAATTATTTCTGATGTGTAATAAAATGAGAGACCAGATATAAATTTTACTTCTATAAAGTTCTGTATTGCTGGGGATTTAGCTCAGTGGCACAAGCGCTTGCCTGGCAAGCATGAGGTCATGAATTCGATCCCCAGTACCTAAATAAATAAAGTTCTAAGTTAAGCCTCATCTTTATTACTCACTTACTCCTTTTGCTTTTTTTCGGCTGCTTTTAAACTGATAGCATACACTTCTTTCTTAAATTTGTAACCATAAAGATAATTAAAATATGTAAGTTTCATCTTTAAATAGATTACTGGGCACATGGTCTTACAGTTGGGCGTTGAATAAAACAGGCTTTACTGTATTGATGTTTAAGGTTACTTGTGTTTTGTGACTTGTTTCATATAACTGGAAGATACTGGTTTAAAATAGGATTTTAAATGTCATGGGTTTTAAAAGATATTTTGTGCTGGAAATTGGAAAGCATTTTGGGCTATAACTAATTGATTAGCTTTTTAAAATTTTTTAAATTTTTATTAATACCTATTTGCAGTACTTAAGGATTACATTTATTGGGGGTTGGTGTATGTACATAACACAAATTATATACATAATCTTAAATAATATTTTGTTGCACCTATTTTCCAGAAAATGTAAGTCTACTATTCAAATTATACTGCTTGATAGTGATGACCCTGGTGGCTGCAGCTTATACCGTATCTTTAAGATATACGAGGACAACAGACAAGGAACTCTACTTTTCAACTACAGCTGTGTGTGTCACAGAAGTTATAAAGTTATTGCTAAGTGTGGGACTTCTAGCTAAGTAAGTATAAATACTTTTAGTATATTGTTATTTTTCCTCATGAAGTATTTTATTAGAAAATTCAAGCTACATTTTTTAATATTTGGTTGCTCTAGAGCAGTGTTTCCTAACTAGGGATGATTTGCTCCATAAGAGATATTTTTGGTAGTTATAAGTTGGGGGAATGGTGTGGCCTCTAGTAAGAAGAGGCCAGAGGCCACTAAATATCCCGTAATGTCCAGTATAGCCCTCAGCAACAGTTAGGTCCAGCTCTGTTTGTTGCTGGGGTCAAAGAGCCCAGCTCCACACCAGATGTCAAACAATAGCCCATGGGCCAGATGTAGCTTCCTACCTGTTTTGGTTGCTGTTGACACTATATGGCTTACAAAGCTTAAAATATTTACTATTTGACTTTTAACAAAACATTTCTTTGCTCACCCCTGTGTTATTGGAATATGCTAATACATATTTCTTTTGTTCTGTGTTAACTGCTTGTGCTTTTCATGAATTTTCTCATTTAATCTTTATGCAGTCTTGAGATAAGTACTATAATTTTTCTTATTTTATCAGTATAGCATGTGAGATGCATCAAAAGTACAGTATTAATATGTGATAATGCAGGACATTGAATCAATAACATCATATAAGAATTATTTTAGCTAAAGATGGAGTGAAAAAGAGGAGTACTCATAGGGAGTCTCAGAATCTTATTTTATTCTTAGACTCAGTGGAATTGTGGCTTAACACACATTTCCTAACCTTTTAAAAATCCTGTTAAGAAATAACATGGGCAAGGGTTTATGAAATTGGGACCTAGATGAGAATTCATACTGCTTTCAATACATGTGTCAGTGAGAGTAGGCAGGTAGGAAGGCAGAGCTTGTGCATACGCTCTTAGGTGAAAATAGACAAATCACATTCAATGATTTCTGAAACGCATTTAACATACTGACTAGTTTCTGTGTAACAGTTTTTATACTGGGTGCTGGTATACAGGTATGAATAAAATATGGTCTCCATCTTCCTCAAACAGATTTAATGGAAGAGGCAGAAAATAAACGAGTAAACACACATGATTTCACATGATCCTGAAAAATGATGATTTGGGGAGAGTGAAAAGAACAGAAAAACAACTTGAGACTAGATGGTAGGCAGCTTCAATATATTTGAACTTAAAATTATGTTGCAGATAGAGATACACTGGCAACGTAACTTGTCAGGTTAGTAAAACCAGACCTTCATGTAACAAAATTCATTTTTCTTGAAGTGTGCCTTTTAATTATGGAATTTTTCTCTCTGGATTATGTAGGATAAATGTGAGTTTTAGTGTACCTTTATATAAGGCTGTGTTTCAAAGGCAAAAGTCTAAAACTCTAGAATAATGTTTAAACCTCCAGGACACCTTCCATATAACAACCGAAGAGTTAACAAATTAATACAATCTTTTTTTTTTTTTTTTTCCTTTTTTTGGTGCTGGGAATTGAACTCAGGATCTTGCACTAGCCAGGCAGGTGCTTGCGCTGCTCAGCTATATCCCCAGCCAAATTAATGTAATCTTAAGGCTTAGCTTCTTTTAAGAAAAACACAAAGTTCCCCAACTTCCAAACAGACAAAAAAATTTTAACTCAGGAGTTACAAAGAACTATTAAAGCATTGTTAGCTGTTCTAAATTACAAGATCAAATCATGGTTCAGTGTGTTGTGCACCTGTGAAGAATTTGTGGCAATCACTATGAAAAAATTAGCAAAAAAAGCACTAAATCCCTCGGTATAATTTACCAGTGGGGCTAGTTTTCTATCAAGCCACCTACATAGACCTTTTCTTTTGACGATTTTCAAGTCTCGCATTGCTTCTTGTACAGGATTTCTTGCTTTTCTTCAGGTGTTTGATGTTATAGGTATAGTTAGCTATTATGTGGAAACTTTTTGGAAATTATGTCAAAATACCAACACAAAATTTTGAATTTACCAAGCTAGTCAGATGATGGTGTTGAAATAAATGCAATGTGGAAAAAGTGGTAGTTGTTTTGTTTGTCACCAGCAAAACAAAGGCCATGATCTCACGCACAAAAATTAGGCACAGTCAGAAAAAGGTAAAAGAATTACAATATACAGAGTTTTGGTAGTTGGCATTTGACATTAAATAACAATTCGGTATGGAAACGAACCCTTAAAAAAGACTTTCTTACTAGAAAAAGTACTAGAAAATTTAGAAAGCATGAACTAAGTGAAATAACTTTGCAGCTACTGAATTTTTGGAGCAAATATTAATTTGTAAGGAAACATTTTCCAATTGGTGCTTATTCAAAACACCAGTAAAAAACTACCAGGTATTCATACAAGAAAAACGGTTCATTTCTTAACAAAAGGTTTACTTTTATGAGAATATCAGTGAAAATGTTAACTTTGGAATGGTAAAAAAGTTAACGATAAAAAATTATTTCAACCTATGAAGTCACAGATAGGTAGTACAAAATGAAGTGATGTGCTACCTATACTGTTGAACTTGTATTTGGGACTGTAGCTCTGTGGCAGAGGGCTTGCCTCGCACATATGAGGTCCTGAGTTCAGCTCCCCAGTGGTACAAACTGAAATGATGTATTGTGAGTGCTTCTTCAGCAGTTTGTAATAAGACAGTTGATAATGACACTAAAGCACAGTTACAAACTTGGGAAAGATACCCAGTGAAAATACTGAAAATTGCACTAGATCTTGAATACACAACTATCTTATAATAATTTACATAAAGTAATTGCAATATGAAAAATATGAATGACGCATATAACAAAACTGTCCAAGTTAACTGGACAATTAAAAGTTCCTGCAAAGGTAAGATTTTCCAGATATTTTAGTGCTGCTATTTCTTTGCATATATGTCAAAGTATGGAATGAGGATGTAGCTAGTGGTGAGCAATTGCCTAGCATGTGTGAGGCCCTGGGTTCAATCCTCACTCAAGAAAAAAAAGGTGGGTTGAAGGCAACAAGATATATATAGTTTGTTATAAAGCACAAGTTGGAAAGTTGGATGTCAATGCTTTGCTGTGAGGGAGAGACTTCTATTAGGGAATATTTGTTACTCAAAACTTTTATGAGGTACTTTACATTAAAGAAACCAAAATTGGCTCATACTGTTGAATTTGCATTTAATGATTTTAATGTTAAAATAAGTTTCTAGAACTAAAAAATGTAATAAGTTTTTTATGTGTGTTATCAAAGTAGAAGCAATGTTGCATCATCTGAGAAAAGATGAAAATTTCAGGATATCACAGGATGTGAAAGAATTATGTTAAAAATAATCAAAGTTCTGTAGCTACCATTTAAGTGTTTGCACTCATCTTTCCTTTAACCCAACCTTTACCTGATATAAACCACAGTAATCTTACAGAGTTGATACAAATATAATCCAACAACTTCAGTTTATATGCCCTATTGAATGCTTAATCATATTATAGACTATCTCAGTCTGGCTGATTGCTTATTTAGTACAGTGATGCTCTTTGCTTAGTAATGTTTAGTTTTGGCTCATTGTTAAAATAATGATGTTATATAAAGTGAAGGATAGACTCATTGAGTAGCATAAGAAATTTTTAGTATCTTATGATCAATTTTACGTAGAAACATCACTGCCATGCCTAAATAATCAGTGCTTTACTCCCTCTGAACATCTGAAGCGTGTAGTTTTACTAAAGTAGATTCAAGTTATTGTTAATAAGATTAATGGAATAGCCAGTTTCATTTATTCACTTAGCAAATATTTATCAAGCCCCAATTATGAGTTCAACACTGTTCTAGATATAAGAAGTATAGTTGCATATTAAAGCAAATTTCTGCCCTCCTGGAGCTTATAGTCTATTGGAGAACCAAATGTTACGGTAAGTTAATAATAAATTGGTGGTGTTATGAAGGAGAAATAGAGAATGTTAAAAACAAGTATGGTAGAGAGCCTGTATTAGAATTGGAGACTTTCTTCTTTGGGGATGTTGCATTTAATCCTAGACCTGAAGACTGACTAGAAGTTAGGAAAGAGAAGAATGGAGCAGTTGGAGTAAAGAGAGTGCTGTTTGAAATCCCTGAATCAGAAAAAAATTGTTACTTAAACATTATCAGTATGTGTGGAGTAAGATACCAAGAGTCAAATACATTAGAAAATCACTGGATGGTTTAAGTGAGACAAACATGGCAAACTATTTTGGTTCCAGAGTCGCTCTGACCCCTGTAAGGAGAGTGGGTTGGAAAGTTGAAAGTGCAGTGAAGGGTAAAAGTCGGACAGAGGAAAACTTAATAGAAGCAAGTGATAGGGCCTAGAATGACAGTGTATGTAAGGAAGAGAGTTAATGGATTTGAGTTACGCTCTGGAGGTATGATGTATAGTACTTAATCATGTGTTTGAATAAATAGTTCTCTTTATTCAAAGGAATTTCATTCAATAGTCATCACTAGTATTTGAATAGAAACTATTGCTCCTAAATACAAGGTGGGTTCTCATGCGTTTTTGGCCATATTTCTGTCAACTGATTAGTATATAACTTTGTTTTATGTGTGTTTCAATTTAAAGACACTATTTAATACTGTGCTTTGCATCTTAAATACCCCCAAGGGTTATGTGCTAAATGCTTGTTAGATGGTGGAACCTTTAGGAGGTGGTGCCTGTTGGGTAGTCTTTTGGGAACTGTGAGGCCTCAGTCTCTTTGTTTTCTCTTTGCTTCCTGACCATGAGGTGAGTCATTTTGCTGCCTTGTACAAAGCCATGGGATCAACTGATCATGGTCTAAAATCTCCAAAGCTGTAAGCTAAAAATAAAATCTCTGTTATAAGTGATTATCTCAAGTATTTTGTTACAGAAACAGAAAGCTAACACATTTATTGATCAGTGTTGAATCATGGTCAACAGCACTATAATTTATACTTGAATGAAGTTTACCTGTCACATGTATTGTCTCCATAATGTTATATCATAGCTTTCTTAGGACACTAGCACTTTAGCACTATATTTGGAGGCCATTTTAAATAGCAAAATCACCA